TTTTTTTTTTTTTTTTTAATTGAGACTAGCTTTCTGAAGATCGTCTCGAGATTTGATTTTTCAAGAGAAGAGTTAAAAAATAAGGTGATTATATATAAGGACGAGATTGTAATTCTTCGATAAATGTCACCGGTTTCATTGCCTCCCGGGTTTCGATTTCACCCGACCGATGAGGAGCTCGTGGCTTATTACCTAAAACGAAAGATCAACGGCCGGAAAATAGACCTTGAAATCATCCCAGAAGTTGATCTCTACAAGTGTGAGCCATGGGATCTTCCAGGTGCACACAACATACATTTCAAATCCTTTATTTACATGTATATCAGTATATATATATATTTCAAATCCTTTAAACATACTATATATATATATAGTATTCTCATTAAATTATAGTCATATATAAAATGAATATGTAATCAATTGTACATTTTTCATATTAATTTCTTGGTTAAATATATATATATTGGATTTATATATCATGGCAAAAAATGGATCAAGATTGAAGAAAAGCACATAATGGAAACAAATGAATTAATGAACTATAATTGAAATGAAGTAAATATCAAGAAAGGTATATATAATGTGAAAAATTAACTTGCCTCTTTGGTGATGCATTCATATTTGTGTGTTTTTTTATTTTTATATATAATGAACTATCATGCATCCTCCTAACCGTTAGGCAGACTCATCATACTTCTGTTTATATCACTTTATATAAACGAGTACATATTACAGTGTACTTCTATATTGAACCCTCGATCGATGATTAACTGCAGGAAAATCATTATTTCCGAGCAAGGATCTCGAATGGTATTTCTTCAGCCCCCGTGACCGAAAGTACCCAAACGGGTCTAGGACAAACCGGGCCACAAAAGCCGGATATTGGAAGGCCACCGGCAAGGACAGGAAAGTAAATTCACAAATGAGGGCCGTTGGCATGAAGAAAACCCTAGTTTACTACCGTGGGAGAGCCCCTCATGGAGCTCGAACCGATTGGGTCATGCACGAGTACCGTTTAGACGAAAGAGAATGTGAAATTCCCACTGGCTTGCAGGTATTCTTTTTTTTGCCATTTTTCTTAGTCATCAAATTGAATGTTACTCCAATTGTTTTAGTACTTAATCTTTTGGCTAATTTGATGAGTTCATGAGGTGCATTGTCACTTAATTAGTACTTTTTATTTGTGTGAAAAAATATATATATATATTTAGGACGCTTATGCCCTTTGCCGCGTGTTCAAGAAGAGTTTGAACGTCCCGAAAATTGGAGATCACTACAATATTGCCTCGGCCAGCGACCGGTCGTCGAGCATAGACATACATTGTGAAGGAAATTATGAAAATGACCTAATCGATAGTTCTGAATATCCAACGCCGACGAACACAATTCCCACTTGCATTAACATAACCGGCTCATCATCAAACGATGCGACATGGTCACAATACTTATCCGAAGATGAATTTACCTTCACCAATAATAATAATAATCCTTACTCCAATCCCGGCCCGGCTATACTGTATCCACCATCAAAGGTATGATCAGCAATCCCTTAGTTTTATAGCCAAGTAGCAAATGCAAAGATGAAATGTAACCATTTTTTTGTAGAAGTATTAATAGTAGTATTTTGTCATGTGAAAAGACACAGTTACCCTTACTACCAAAAATTAGATTTTCAGAAACAGTTTTTAGTAGTAAGGGTAATTCTGTCATTTTTAACGACTACGAATATTTAATCAAACTATATATTCTATTCAATGTTTTTTAACAACATTTATTATGACATCTTGCTCATTTTGTTTTTTAATCAGGTTGACATAGCATTAGAATGTGCAAGGTTGCAACATAGGTTTTCTCTGCCTCCATTGCAAGTTGAGGACTATTCACAGGCTGCTAATTTTGCTAACGACATTCCGAATATTGTGTCGAGTTCGAGTCCTTTCCATGGAAACATTACGAATCATCAACAGCCCGATATTGTGAATGAAATTCTTTCAGTTGCTCAAGCTTCTCAAGATCTTCAAAACGACGAGGCCGCTGGAATTTACGCGCCAGTCGATGATTTTTCGTTTCTTCTTCATAGTAACCCGGCGACACCTGGCAATGTGGGTTCATACCAATACATTGAAATTTGTGATGGTGATGAAATTTTCCAGGCTGGGAGAATGAGTGAGAATTTGAGATGGATTGGTACGTCTAACAATGAACTTGAAAAGGTATTATTTAATTACTAAATTAGTTTATTTCTCAATTAAATTTGACTAAATTTAATTGTTTGATTAATTAATTTTTTCTTTTTTATTTTCTTTGATTGTACTCAGGCCTTTTCAGATGATTTTAAGACAGTCCCTATAGAGAATTTCTCCAATATTGCACAAAGAGAATATCATGAATTTGAAGGTTTGTCTCATATTAATCTCATAATTAATCCTTTCATATTTAATTATCAACCAATTAAGCCTTGTCTATAATTTTTAACATTAACATTTTCTTGAATATTATTATTAACTCATGTATATAGGAGAAACAAGCAACAACCCCAACTTCAATAATGTCTTGACAAACAATATTGATCAAACAACAAACGATCACGATGATTTTTTGAACGACAAAGATATCGACGATTTTTCGAGCGCCCCGTGCTTTGAAGTGTACGAGAAAGTAGAAATCAATCACGGGTTGCTTGTTTCGACCCGGCAAGTGCCCAATACATTTTACCACAAAGTCGTGCCGTCTAGGACAGTCCGAGTCCACGTAAACCCCACAATAGTGAAATCGAAGTTTTCAAGAAGCATGGAGAGGTTCATGAGCTTGAAGAGTACGAAGTTTGATGATGATCATAAGGTGAGGGACTTTGATCATGGAATTAAAAGTTCAAAGGGGAGCTTATTGTTATGTGGTGAAGTTAGCAATATGAAGTGTTATTTGACATTTGCTTTGGCTTTATGTGCCATTTGGATTCGAATTGTGACACCTTTTTCTTGATTTTACAGTCATAACTTTGGAAATTTATTGTCCTTTTTTTTTTTTTTTTTTTTTTTTT